CAGATCAGACATTCGAGAGGGAAGGGAGGCGCTTGGAAGATGAAGACGATATTGAAATAAGTGCCGCCGAATTACGAGGTGCCCAGGCATGAGCAGCGAACTGGGCGTTGAGATCACGACGAAATTTACGAAAAGTTCACGTCCTGTCTTTTGATTCAAATACAGACAACTGGCGATGGGATAGAAAGGAGTTGGGTACACGTAGGAATGCGGAATGGGAATCGGTGCCATTGCGATATGGTATCACGGGCACACTTTTGGCGCGACTTTGGCATATCGCCCTATTATACATACGAATTTCTGATGATGGCGATCTCATCAAAACCGAGAGGATTTTCAACATGGGACAGTCAAAATAATCTGATGAGCATATGATGCCAGAGTTCCCGAATGGCGACTCACACACGTAATACTTCATAGGTCCCAATCAGTGGCAATATGATGACAATGGGGCAAATTCGGCAAGCCGTGTACCAGAGACATGAGAAAGACGGTGCTAAGTAGTTGGGGCATATGTGTAGATATGGGAATCTGATAAGCAGGTTCTTCGTGAGTGATATTGCAACAGATGAACATCAACGCCTTGGAGATAGGAATAGTTTATCTCAAGTACATAGCCGGGTTTGTGGGGGTAGGCCCCCAGATGTAGGTTTGCATCAGGATGACGAACAGTGTGTTCCAACCGGATCCAAGACGGGAATTGAGATTTCGATAACTCTATTTCCTTCTGCTGCACTCCAATCAGACGAATCGTGAGTCAGATACCAATGGCTACAATCTTGTTGGCATTGTCATTGGTCGCGCACAATTGAATTCGTCCTTCTAAGTTGAGCTTCAACCTAGGTCAATGATGCGATACCTACACTCCATCAACCCACTCAACGACTCTAGAATATCCCATGAACCGTCACCCGCAAAATCCAGCTTATTCTGCCACATCACGGACTCACCTTCTTGAGGGTCTCGCTTGTGCCGGAACCGTCACAGCACGCACCCAGTTGTCTCTGTCAAGTGCCGAACTTGCACGCTTTCTGTGCCTCTGCATAAATCAGCATGCTGCGTGTCAAAAATAGGTTTCAGTAACGTAGTTATGACGAACCGACGAAAGCGAGGATTGACACGAGTGCGAGCAGGGTCTCGGTGAGTTGCATTTTAGACGGCTGATAGGTGGAATTACTACCCTTAGAGTTTGAAAGAATATTACGTCAAGCTTCTCGGGGTTTGCTGTGGTTCGATGTGCCAGGATCCTCGAAAGCTTAATGAGAACAGAAGTTATAGACCCGGGAAGAAATTGTCAGCAAAGGACGACTTGCGGGTTTCGTGACTTTATATCCGAACAACATCCATACGCGCTATGCGGAACATCTCCAAGGATTCTTGACCAGTCGAGTTCATCTGTCTCAGAAAATGTTTCGCGTGGGCTTCTCTCAATACTGCGATCAAACTCACAACAGTGCAGACGAGGAGTGCTTTGAAGCGCGTGGCTGTGACAATCAAACGCCGAAAGGTGAAGACTCCACGTGAGCTCCGACGTATCTCCATGTGGCCTTGAGCAATCCGCGCGGTAGCGAAGCAAATACCCGGGGTACCCCAAGTTTTCGCATTGCGTTCGGAGCTGTAGGCCGAACTACTCAGACGTCATGTCACGAACAAGGCAGGGTTTGCTAGCTTGCGACTAAGGTAATAGCATGGCATATATAACTGGTAGGGCAAGGCAAGAAATTGGCGTTCGACCACGTAAAGTCATGAGAAGAGTAGATTGCAATATTTCTTTGTAACATTTTGACACCTGTCTCATCTTTGCATCTTTCTTTTGGTGACTGTACTGAGCCATGGGAATTATATTTGTTGTATCCCCATGAATCACATCACTCCGAGTCTGCAACATGTTTCATAGCGTGAGAACTTCCTTGAACCTCTCGGGGCATGTACGTTAGACAGCTAAGTGGGAGTGGTCATGTGTTCTTTCACCTTGGCAACTAGCAGTTGGAACCGTCATTACCACGGAGCGTCTGACGCGCGTAGATGAGGCCGATGCTAATATCAACAAAAAGACTGGAATGTAGTAAGAGCAAGAATAAGGTGACCGTTATCTTTCAGGCTAATGGCCTCCGTGGTGTCTTCTGTTGAGACAGAATCCGAAGCCATGGAGGGAGAATGTGTGCAAGTAGGTTTCGAGAGCGCAAGCGGACAAAATCGCTTTTAACAAAAGTGTGGAATAACCAGATGAGCGACGTCCAAACTATAGAAGAACTGAACAAATCTTAGAGGAAACACACTATCACTGCAATATTCAACCCTGCCAAATTCCTAGAGAGTTCATTCCGGAGACGTCGCGATTAATTGACCAGACCTCTGCTGAACTTGGTATTTTGATTGGATCGATAAGAAAGAAGTACACCGACAGCCGGGGTTCCGGGATCCCTGTCACTCCAAGAAGACTTGGTATTAGCTGATGATCATCCCTTTTGGGCCCCTCATACAAAGTATATACTATGGAACCACTACAGTCGCAATTCCCTCGCCCAACTCCTCCTTGACATTCCTTACTTCCACGAACTCTGTGTGAAGAGATGTGCCACCGTCAGGCTTATCACGTCTGAAGAACCCAACCACTCTTCCACGCACAACGTGCCCGTTCATATTTCTTTCTTCAGTCTTGGGCTCCGTCCAGATATCCGCCACCCTCTTTTCGTTTGGCGGCAGAGGCGCGGAGGGTGAGACCGGGACCGTAGGTCGCCCGGCAGGGTCCAGCGAAATGCCGTGTTCGAGCTCAATGACCCTCCGTGCCACGGCAACTAGCGTCGCCATCTCCCACAGATTCTCTCGCGGGAGCCCGAGGATGGGCATCAGCCGGAGTAATTCCAGCCGCGTCTCCAGATGACGACATGTCGTCGTAAAAAAGAACAACATTGGCGTGTACCCCGTTTCGAACATGAACTTGGACGTCTTGGCATGGACGCCTTCCATCTTCGAGTGTTCTGATATTTGAACGACCATTTCGGCGAGATTTTTTGCTAGTTGGCTGTAATTTGGCACGTACTTGTCGTAACCAGTCAAATTATTAGTAAACGCCATATTCAGCCAAATACGGCAGCACTCGTATCGAGTGGAGAGGAAACCGCGCAGCATGTTTGGTACGTAGTCTGGTTTTTCCTCGAAAGCCTTAGTTGTGGGCGAGGACGTGTATTTGCTTTGGTTGTTCAGCTGGGCGAAGAGAATGCTCCACCGGTCGAGCATACTATTGACGTATTCTTGCCGCGCTAGTAATTTCGGGGGAACGCCATTTCCCGTTGGCGACAGGGAACGAAAAGGATATCCTTGCTTCATGAGCTGGAGAGTTTGGCAGTAGAGATCGTCAATCATCAACTGGGCGTCTTGGAATGAGGAAAAGCTTGGGGGCATAGGATGTTCCAGTCCGCTCAGGTCCGGGAAGTCGGCCTTTTCGCCGCTGAAGAAGAATGAGTACTCTGTGAGGCGTCGGAAAAGTGGGAGAAGATGCTCCTTGGTCCAGGGGAACTCGCTGTGGGTATTTCGAAGGAGCGCGACCCCATGCTTGCAGTGCTTAATAGCGGCTTCGCGCCCAGACTGCAGAAATTCGATGCAGATGAACAGGAGGCAGACAAGCAGGACCGTGGGGTGCTTGTCCTGCGTCTTCATGCCAATCAGCTCTCTCATGGCCGCATTGTAGTGGCGCACAGCAAAGCTGTAGTCCCGCGGGGCAACGATCTCGTCAGTCCCGGTGTGGAACTGCTCATAGAGGTCGCTGATGGCTAGGATGGAGTGCGTTACCGCCGGCTCAAATGTGCTGAACTGCATGACTATGTGCGTCCAGAAGTAAGGATCCACGGCCCCTGAGAGGAGCGGCCCCACGGCTTCAGCAAAGTATTGCAGAGCGCGGTTGTCGCTTGGAGAACTGACTCCCGGAGAGGCGTGACTTGGCTGGACCGTCAGGACCACAGACGGACCCGAACCCGGGGAGCTGGATGAGACATCTGTCAAGTCGGCGACGTGTGGGTAGCCATCGCATTTGCGGCCAGTCGCGGTACAACGCTTGCAGGATGGTCTGCTCTCATCGCACTTGATTTTACGTACTCTAGCGAGCGTTAGACGACGCGCCAACTCATCATGAAAACCTTACTCTCGGGCTCGTCTCCCGCGACCCAATCGGACGGCAATAGATGGAACTTACTTGCAGGTTAAACATCCCGTCCTAACCTTTCGGCTACCTTTCCGAGCCATAGTTCCGCTAGAAACACAAGACAACCGGTACGAATATCCGTAAAGGCTCGAGCCAGCCTTGTTGTCAGTCTGTTGGTCTCAAGTCCGAACCAGCCACTGACGTGGTGCGCGTGCCGGTCAGGGGCAAATGACCGTTGGACGCCCTCGGTGAGCGGGCAGCCTGATGAGAAAGAACTTTGGGAGTCCGAGGGCGAGGTGCAGGAATGCGAGCGGAGACAGCCCGAGATAATATCTGTGCCCACCAACCTCGGAAGACAAATTGTGGGATACGCCAGGGCGAAACCGAACCCACCAATGTGAGCGTGAGATTCCCAAAGAATCCCTGCTGTAAGCATGGGGTAGGATTGAAAGCCCCGCCTGGGACGCGGTGTAGCTGATTGTCTAACCCAATTTGGGCCTAACCGTCTTCACAAACAGGCTGCAAACGTTTAGGCAACGATTCAAAAGAAAATTGTCTTGGTGTGACGGTTCATCGTCGAAGCATTGATGACGGGTGTAGCCGCAGCTTGCTCTAGCTCATCGGGAAGGTCATGGTACTAATTGATTGGATCATTTGGTGGGATCACGCAGATTTGTTCCTGACTTGTTGAGTGGATACAGGCATCGGGGTTTAGATCTTGTTTCGTTGGAGGGGCACTGCTTACCTTTGTCGTGATAATTGAGGGGAAATGTGAACGGTTGTGTAACAGTCTTTCGGAAGTGAGAGGTGGCATCACGATCCGACTAAATGAAGACTATGAAATCTGTTAACGAAATCTCTATAGCTCCATGTCAGCTACATGGCCCATAGAAATATCCCACATAGTTGGTCTTCCATGCGTCGCTTCTCTCCATGCATCCGTCGATCTGACTCGACCTGCGTACGCCGCCAAGATTCCGGGTACCAGATCTTGCCTCCCGCAATCTTGAAGACGGGTAACTAGCGGGACCAAGTGAGCATCTAGGATAGTCGGGCCAACAGCTTGGCCGAAAAGCCATACGTCTCCCTCGTGATAAGTGTCGCTAATCTCACCAAAGACCTCCAATACTTTGGACTCTGCTAAGACTACTTGATCGGCTTCTAGCGCACTTTCCATGTGTTTCTTGTGGCTGCACTGTTCGTTAACTTTCTGATCACACATGCAAGTGCTGCAGATTGATTGCGCGAACTTACAACTCGGCTTTAAATTGCAATGCACTCCGGTAGTCCTCGGGGATTTTACCAACTGAGCTCAGTTGCTCGGCAGCAATATTGGGAACTCCGTATTCGCGGGCTTTCTTATCAGGTACAGAGAGGGAAAGGGCTTGGATGTCGTGCACCTTGGCCAGACGTAATCTGATTTGCGCTTCGTGTTCTCGCGGCAAGAGATGGGGATAACGTTGGCACAGCCAGTAGGAGATTTCCAGAGAACTTGTCAATGGTCTGTCGAGACTCTCCCCTGTCAGAGTTGGAACCTCATAAGAGTTGTTATTGTCAGAACGTTTGCTTCTGCTGGAGGTGCAAAGAAAGACTACAGCTAATCAGGCTGAGAAAGCGATGGGTTCCTCACTTGGCCCTTCGGATTGACTGTCAAAAGATAGTCTGCAGAGAGATTCTCATTTCGGTGTAGATTGACCAGCGCGAGTTGCATGTCAAACTTCTGCTTCCCCGAACCTCTGTGCCCAAATGCACACGTGAGTCTAGTCATGATGGAGTACAAAGAAAAGGGAAAAATATGAAGAGTGAATTCTGATCGGTTATCAGCCACAGCCGCGGCTTCCTCAGTGGTCGACATCATGCTAGTAGGATGCGATTGGAGCAGAATTCCAACCTCAATTTGATAGATGGAGGATCAACAAGCCGTATATAGATGTTTGAGCATGCAATCTTCGGCAATTCTAAATCGGGCTGTAGGTAACTGTCTGACATGCTTACTCTAAGCGGGGTAGCGATATCTCAACATCCGATGATTGGTGATTGGTGACGGAATGCATCCAGACTTTACATCACTCCTATTGGATCCGGATTCGCGATGCGCTTTCCGAGCAGACGACAAGTAACAAACAGATAGACACTGAGAAGGTTGAATGTATTTTGGTATTCAGCTTTCTAGACCTTGAGAGCCTTTGTGATATTAGAGCCTGATTTCAAGGGCTGGTTTACTTTCGGACTTGCGTGCCCGGCACCATCGGGTATTTTAGCATCAATGGTAAATTCTTCCATTAGGGTTCAAAGTTGCCACAGGGACATGAATGAGGCAGAGTGTCCTGATTTTCATGGTTGATTCACAGAAGACACCTTAATCTCATACTTCCTGCTAACCCCTGACTGATTTGAAATGAATCACAATCTGAAGCCACGCCGTTGAACTGACAAAGAATCGAGAGAGGTGACGAGGAGTTTCCATCGGGGCCAAGCTCCAAGCAAGTTCGTTGGAACTAAGACACGCATCAACGGGGAATAGGGACGGGTCCGCGCGCACCGGTTGTTGAGAACTAGACCACTTTAGTGTTTGCGCCCAGTAGGTGCCATCTTCACGCATTTGGAAAATTCGAAATTGTTGTGGTAGTGACGTCGACCATTTCAGGACGCCTATAAGAAAGCCAGACGAGGCGCAAAGTCACATCAAAACTTTACTCGACTACAGCTTCCAAGACCAACTTCACAACCCAATTCCGGCTGCCCGAATGGAAAAGCAGCATCACCAACGATGGCAGCATCAACAATGAATGAGATTAAGCCAGTCGGCTCGAGTCCCGGCTCTGCATCGGCTTATGATAGCAATTCGATGACACCCCTCGCATACGATCTCGTCAATACGCCAGAGGGTATTTCTATCTTGGTCGACTATCTCAGCGGACTGCCCAATGACGCGGTCCCATCGCATTATGTTGATCTCGAAGGCGACAACCTCAGTAGGCATGGCATCATATCTATCCTCCAGCTATATGTGGCTCCGAAACAACACACATACCTCCTCGATATCCATGCTCTCGGTGACAAAGCTTTCTTGACTCCGGGCGAGAGATCAGGCAAAACAATTAAGGGGTTCTTGGAGGACCCCAACGTAAAGAAGGTCTTCTTCGATGTTAGAAACGACTCAGATGCTCTGTTCCACCACTTCAGGATTGATCTGGACGGGATACAAGATCTTCAGCTTATGGAGTTCGCCTCACGTTACAACAAGGCAGGATTTCTCAGCGGATTAGCAAAATGCATAGAGAGGAATGCCCCATTGACGCCCGAAGAAATCTTCGCCTGGAGAGCTGTCAAAGTGTTGGGACACAATCTGTTCAACCCACAGTCGGGCGGAAGTTATGCTGTCTTCAACCAGCGACCTTTATCTCCGGATATTCTTCGCTACTGCATCCAGGATGTCCAATACCTGCCTCGTCTCTGGGCTGTGTACTATCAAAAGCTGGGCAAGGATTGGAAGCACGCCGTGGAGAAGGAAACGAAGAACAGAATCCTGAAATCTCATGCATCTGACTATAATGGCCAGGGCAGGCATATGACGGAGCCACCTGCTGATTGGGTTGTGAGAAACCCAGAAATCACTGCCAATATTCACACTGAACCAACTGCAATTACGAGATACACGTAGCATCGACTTCAGTGGAATGAATGGCGGGAATCATCGGCGGTAGAAGATTGTTTGATGGGCAATTACGAAAGTTCTCTCTTCATATTTCTGCATTGCATGCATTTGGAGTTGTATTTTTCAGGCGATACGGTTGAAGGCCCCGTGCTAGACAGCCAGACATGCGAAACTTTGATGTGCTTGGGCATCTGGTTATCAGCCGGATGAGGTATGACGGAGAAGTGATAAATCTTGAGAATGAAGAAGTCATGTTCTATTCAGCAACACCAAATTTACTGAGAGTCCGTAGCTTTGCTCCATATCTCCAGAGCAACAAAGGCGCTGGCACACCAATCACCACTGCAATGATGGCTAGCAAACTCCCACCTAGGCCATAGCCAAGATTCCTGAACAACGCCGGGACGAACAGTGGGAATGCGAATGCAAACATGGATCTCATGAAGCAACAAGCCGCCGAGGCCGAAGCAGTGTGAAGAGCATAGCAATCGGCGATGTAAGCCGATATGCATTGGTATGATACCATGCTGCTGCCGATAGTGATGGCTATGCCCACCTACAGATGAGTAGTGTTAGTCCGACAGACCAAATAGTGTTGGGGATCAGGTAGTATTTCTTACGTTGGGAAGCATGAAGTGCATCTTGTTTTGCGCAGTCCAGGCGACAAGCATTATCCCACAGGGCGTAAGAAGAGAAGCGGGGACCATTAATGGAATGCGAAACTCCGGGACTCCCTTCCCATCCTTCTCAATACCTCAACGTCGTTTGAGTCTTTGATAAATCATGTCCATTGTTGGGGCGGAGATCAGAACACCGATCAATGCTCCGACGGCAATAGAGATGTAGTTCAGGCTCGCTTGCCCTTTGTGCATGCCATAGTAATGCTCCCACAGTCTCGGAAAGCTAGATATTATGAGATATAGTAGTCCAAAATTGAACGCCTGATAGAGCGCGAGGCTTTGTATAATGGGCTGAGTAGCGAGCATGATCCATGGGCGAGATAGGCTGGTCCTGAGGATGACAGCGAGTGTGCGCTCCTGCTTTTCCCACTCCGTTTTAATGGACGCATCGTTGTAGAGCTTACGCAGTCGCTTGGCCTTCAGGTGCAAAAGTCGTGGGGCGTATGTCTCTCTAAGAAAGATAAAGGCAATGACTTGCACCGTGAAGTTCAAGATTACCACGGTCCAAAAGGTCCATCGCCAGGTAGCGTATTGAGAGATATATCCACCCGCTGCACATTCAGAGATCATTAGATTTGCACTTCATGTACTTCAGTGGTATCTGGGTGATCAACGTACCGATAGGGCCGACTGCGAGTCCTAAAACGGGGGCGAATTGCATGAATGCAATTCCCTTCCCTCTCTCCTCTGGCTTCCAGCAGTCAGCTAGTACGCCACTGCCCATCTGACGAAGGTGTCAGCATTTTGAACAACCTTTCAGAACCAGAAGAACATACCCCTATAGTCGCACTGCCGCCTATTCCAGCAAGGAAGCGAAAGATCAGGATCTGCTCCTTTGATGCTGCAAACCCGCAAAGGGCAGTCGAGACAATGAACATCAAATTCCCAACTCGTACAATGGGGGTTCGACCCCATATCTCCGAGCAAGGAGACAATACGAAAGGTCCTAGTGCGTATGTGAGGAGAAATATTGAGAGCACTAATTGCCGCTCTACCTCATTGGTGATGTGCAGGTCGTGGCTGATCGGTCTTAGAGCTGGGGCGGCTATCGATGAGGACAGGGGAGATAGGAACGCGAACGATGATATGATCAAAGATGTCTACGACTTCTGTGAGCTTGTGCTAAATATCTTGGGGTTTGCCAGAGTGATACTGACTGTCCATTTCTGTCTTCGGTTCCAGTTCTTGGGATTTTCTGAGTCTTCCGGCCCATCCCAAGTCACCTACAACAGCGTATTATCGTCAATCCAATGCAGCTAATGTGTATCGATCCACAGAGGCTTACAGGTGAGTATGTAGAGATGCTTCCGTCACTGCTTTCGTGTAGTCTAGATTCCGATGTTGAGGGCGTGGCTTTGGCATCGCTGCCATGTTTCTTTATGGTTTCATCTTCGCACAAGGTCGTCAAAGAGTTGAAAGAGAAGAGAGCTGGTCCTAGGGCTTGTTCAGTATCCTCGTTGAAGTCTTGTCGAAGATTCATGGCAAAAGTAGCAAGGAACAGAAAAGTGCCATTAAAGATTGGGTGAGGGAGCACTGTCGAGATGATCTGGCCAAGACTTGTATCACCGAGATTAATCTGCCACCTGAGCACTCCAGACTCCTTATACTACCATGCCACTGACTTCCGTGGCTTGATGTTCACCACAGGTCATAGCATATTTACCATCTTTGACATGGATCAATAGTACGGGCCGCAATCCGCAACTTCCCCAACCACATCTAGGGCTGAGCTAGACACTTGGGCGTATCTCAGCTCTATGGAGCCCTTCGTAAAGCTGCCCATTCGGGCCTTTCGGAAGCTCTCGAGGTCAAGCCATCGCACAAAGAAGAAGCTCAGCGCAATGTTCCGTTCCCCGGAAAGACGGTGTAGGCCGAGCAGGGGAAGGACCTGCTTCTTCACCAGACAACCTTCGAGCGCGCTACGATTTCAACTGGCGCGAACTATCTCACGCCACGGCCCGAATGGCTCAAAACAAAGGCCACAAGCGCAGTTCCCCGTGTTTTACCCCTGTCCTGGGCTCGGACCATGAATAATCATATTGTTCAAATCTCGATGCCCAGTTTATGCCACGAGATTTATGGAACCTAAAAAGTTTGCGCAACACAATACATCGTCAACAGAGATGAAAGAAAGGTCCATCCAGGATTCGAACCTGGGCTTACGGAAGGAACTGATTTTTGGATCAGAATCCGACGTCCTAACCAACTAGACTAATAGACCAATTATGATTGAGAACTGCTTCTCGCTGGGTTTCTCGCGCGGTTGCGACGTTCATGTTGCGTGTGGTTGGGGGCTGAAGCCCTCACTGTGGACACATCGTGAAGTGGATCTCGGAATCGTAGCAACCTCAGAGGTGCAAGTTGGGCATCTTGGCTCGAATTGTGGAATCCTTCCAAACATTCGACATCGAAAATTGGAATGAAAACCTCTACTGGATCAAAGGAGTTGGCATGGAGTCGTTCAGTTCCGAGTACCCGGGCTTAGTTGAACAGCAAATCCCAAACATCGCCGCAAAGCAGAAACAAATGTTCTTCTCCACATTGCAGAGGCGTTTCGCTGTCAGCTGTGCTACCTACACGCGTAGCGCTGAGCATAGAATTTCAGCTCGACGCCACAATTCCGGGGTGACAGCAAATCTCAAAGAGGAATCTGGTCACGCGACGCAGCCGTGCTTTTCATGTCTGATGGTGTGCTCTGAAGATGGGAATAACATCATTTATGTAGGGTCAATCAATGGACTCAACAGTTATGAAATCTGCACTGCCTTGCACAACGCTAGTGCAATTTACGTCGACCATGCCTACTATACTAACAACAGACTAAATCTGGCCGCATCCAAGCTCTGCATCTTAATCGATGCAACATAGCAGAACAGTTACGCTCCTCGTCCGTCTCAGCTTACGGTAATGCTTTGTTATAGCGACGATCACGGTAGGTGCTTCAGGGAGCTCCGTGGGTCCTGAGCCATTGCTACAAGCTTGGGCTAGGTCAAGCATACATGAGAAGAGAAGAGCGACTAACAAACAGAGGTGAAGTAACAACCCTCTTAAAATAATAACAACAGACGGAAACAGGTTTGTTGTGTGGATTGTCCCTTCAGAAAGTAAAAGACACGACGGCCATGGTACTTGGACAAACTGAAAACGTAAATTTACAAGATCTATTGGGCGATTGGTTTAGTGGTATAATGACCGCTTAGCATGCGGTAGGTCCTGGGTTCGATTCCCAGATCGTCCATTGCTTTTTTCCTAATTCCATCATTTTTGCTGTTCCCGCCTGGTGGATGTCACTTTCTTTTGCCATTTTGAACATTCTCATCAAAAAGGAAGTGCGGTACGGCAGAAAGCATATTGGCAGATCCTTTGGGATGATTGGGTCACACCCGAAAGGTTAAATGCAGTGTGTGGGGTACACCAGCCGGACGTCGATCACCCTTCCACCCGCGCTTGGAGACATCTCGAAAGGGACGTGTTCTCATGATCCTCCGAGATTCAAGGGGCACGGTTCAGACTAAATCACTTTATTTTCTCATTTAGAAACCAAGGTACTTTTGTCTAGCTTGCACGATCAGACTTCACCCGGACAGCCGCCGCTAAGTTAACCTCGAAAGCTTGGCGATCAACCAGATTCATTAATATGGTGCAATATCCCGGCTGGATGCTGCACCGTTCGAGCTTCTGGCGCTGCACCTTTGTCTACTATCGCGTCTCATCGTTGCAGCAACTTGATCTCGACATGGCCGGAACCATTGCTGCTTCCTAGCTTTCGCGGAGCTTAGTGATGTGTCCCGAAAATCTTTCCTTCGCGGTCCAGGCTGATGCCTCCGGTACTTTGCTTATATGATCAATTCGAGTTGCACTTGCACCTCCAGGTATTAATAACCGTCTCGTGAGGTGGGCTAGATAATGGAGTTACCACCGACCCAGACCCAGCCCACTCGAGAAAAAAGCATGATCATGTTTCCCTTCCCAGCGATCCTTTTTGTCTTTGTCTCTCTAGCATCCGCTCATAGCCGAGTGACAAATTTCGTAATCGACGGTGCATCCTACCAAGGCTTCAACACACGATCCTCGAACCCCGACATCCTCGCGGCATGGAGCACGACAGTTAAGAATGACGGTTGGATCAGCACCGAGAGCTATGGTAAATCCGACATCGTTTGTCATATCAATGCGACCAATGCTCAGGGCCATGCACCCATTGCTGCTGGTGACACCATTGACTTTCAATGGCAAGGTTGGCCCGAGTCACATCACGGTCCCGTCATCACGTACCTTGCTTTCTGCGGCATTGACAGAGGGTCCTGCGAGTCCATCGACAAGACGAAGTTGAGCTTTTTTGCGATCGACAAGGTCGGACTGGTTGATCCGAGTGCCAATGCCACGAGTTTTGCGACGGCGTGGGGAATCTGGGCGAGCGACATCCTCATCAGCAATAATGCGACCTGGGCGGTGCAGATTCCGCCGAAGATCCAACGTGGTTACTATGTGCTTCGACATGAGATCATTGCACTCCATTTTGCTAGGTATCCAGGGCAGGGCGCGCAGCACTACCCCCAGTGTATCAACCTTGAAGTTACTGGCGGCGGGAGCGACGAACCCGCTGGGACGTCGGCCGCGGATTTGTATCAAGCGGCGGAGGATGGGTTGATCTACGACATCTCCCAATCGCCTACAGGGACGTACAAGATCCCGGGGCCGACGATGTACACTGGCGCAACGGCTTTCGTCTCTCAGACTGGGGTGCTGGTCCGTTCATCGACAACTGCGATACCCGGCCGACCGATCGCAACTCAGGTTTGAAGAAATCGAGCACAGGAATCGTCGCTAGGTCGGAGGCGTGACTGACTGATGAGTATCTAAAAAGCTCGTTCTTCTGTCGTTCTGGGTAGAAATGGGGCTGGTGGAGACGCGCAGGCTGGATGCTGTCGGTGTGTCACAATAGGGCGGTAGCTAGCCCATGACATGTTGCGTAGAGTTTGACACAAAATGACACAGGTCGTCCAATTTCTTTATCCTAGATCCATATATACTGTCGTGAAGGGCGTTCAAGGCGTAGAAATATGCCAAGCGATGGATGTAAATGACGGCTAACCGACTAGACAACCATCGCTGCTGATTGCTTCCATCCATAGCTGACGCTGCGCCGGTGCGGTACCCCCGGTTTCGGGCGCATTTGCCGGAGACAAGATCCGGTGCCAACGCCTTTGCCTATCGCTCTTCACTCTCCTACTTCAACCCAATTGCGTCTGCCGTTTGCAATTCACTCAGACTCATTGGCTCCCTCGAAGAAGATATCTCGTTACTCTTGTCTTGAATCTCGTAACTGCAGTCATTTTCACCATGATTGCCCGCCTAAGGCCAGTAATCCTGCCCATTCCCCGCCGGGTGAGGTCACTCTCAACCGCGCGGGGTTCCTTATCTGGACTCAAGATCAACACCGACCGCCTTCAAGAGTCAATTCATCATACATGCCAATGGGGCGCAGCGCATCGATATGGAAAGTGAGTTTTCTTATTTTCAACTCCTTTCAACAATCAAGTCGGTCTCAACGCTTACCATCATTACTGCAGGGGTGCAACAGAGACAGGCATGGCCAGACTGGCGCTGTCCGACGACGATGCTCGCGTGAGAAAATGGTTCGCCGATGAGGTGGCAAGCCTTGACTGTAAACTTGCGATTGACGAGATGGGGAACATGTTTGCGAAACGTCAAGGAGCGCTCAAATCTTCCGCTCCGATGACAGCCATGGGGAGCCATCTTGATACCCAACCCCGCGGAGGCAGATACGACGGCATTCTGGGCGTTCTAGCCGCCGTAGAGGTGATGAGAACACTAAAAGACAACAACTTCAAGACGCAATTCGATGTTGGCATCGTCAATTGGACCAAGTAAGTATAACCATCACCTCGGAAAAAGACGCATAATGTCTGACGAAAACCAGCGAAGAAGGCGCCCGTTTCCCGGGATCAATGATGTCCTCCGGCGTCTGGGCAGGCGAAATCCCTCGGGAAAAGGCCTGGGACTTGGGCGATATCTTCGACCCTTCTGTGACTGTCAAGTCTGAGCTGGAGCGACACGGCTACATCGGTCCGCTCGCCTGTTCAAGCGACGCATCAACTGGTTACCCTCTGGGCGCGCACTTTGAGTTGCACATCGAGCAGGGCCCCATCCTCGAGGAGAACGGCAGGAAGATCGGCGTCGTGCAGGGCGCGCAGGCGTATCGCTGGTTCACCTTCACCATCACGGGCCGCGACGCACACACGGGCACCACGCCGTTGAAGTCCCGCAGAGACCCGTTGCTCGCGGCGTCCAAGATGATTGCTTCCTCCAACGCCATCGCAAAGGAGCTCGGGGCGCTGGCGTCGACAGGTGTTCTCAAGATCCCACCCAGCTCGTCGACCAACACCATCGTCTCAGAGGTTACCTTCACCCTTGATATTCGCCACCCCGAAAACGCAGTTGTCGAAGAGGTGCAGA